AAAAAAAAAAAAAAAGAGGGGCGGGGAGTAGAATAACAAACATAATCAAGGGAAGACAGTCCTGAAGATAACTTTTTCATCTATGAAGAGAACAGGCAAACCTGTCAGCATGCTGAAGCTCAGGAAATACTGTTCCATGCATCCTTCTGAAGTAATCTATGTGAAAACAAGCTTCAGATAACCAAAACAACCACAGAACAATATAAGGCTAGCAGAGAGCACTAACTATGTACTTACTTTTAGAGCTAAGACTAAGCCGGCGCCGTGGCTCACTAGGCTAATCCTCTACCTTGCGGCGCCGGCACCCCGGGTTCTAGTCCCGGTCGGGGCGCCGGATTCTGTCCCGGTTGCCCCTCTTCCAGGCCAGCTCTCTGCTGTGGCCAGGGAGTGCAGTGGAGGATGGCCCAAGTACTTGGGCCCTGCACCCCATGGGAGACCAGGATAAGTACCTGGCTCCTGCCATCGGATCAGCGCGGTGCGCCGGCCGCGGTGGCCATTGGAGGGTGAACCAATGGCAAAAGGAAAACCTTTCTCTCTCTCTTTCTCTCTCTCACTCCACTCTGCCTGTCCAAAAAAAAAAAAAAAAAAGGCAGCTAAGACTAAATGAGGGCTAACAGGGAGAGTACATTATATAATGCATAAGTTCTCATACAATACATAGTTTGGTTATAAAAAATGGGAATGGGGAGAGCAGAGAGAACCTCTGTAATACACACACCTGTTTGCCACAATGATACTGGTAATGGTGGTATTGTTACGTACAGTCAAGAAAATAAGTGAACTACAGGATATTGTTATCATGGCCTGTGTTCCTTGAAAACTGAAATGCAGGGTAAGAGAGGATATGGAAGAGTTAGAGTAAAAACTCTGGTCCTGAATCTGAATTCAAATGATCAGTATGAACCCACAACATATTTTCTCTTTAACTAATTGTGTACGTAAAACATACTGCTGGTCTAGTTTCATCTGCTAAAAAGACCTAGAAGTTATGATCTAAACAGCAATGAGCACTAGCACCCAGATCCATTGCCCACTATAAGAAATTAGGATTGCTTAAAGAAATGTTGGATTCCAGGCAAAAGGCAGAAGCAAGAGACAAATAAAACAAGCCTGCAACACTGCAGCACATCATATAACAAAGAAACTTAGGGTCATGACACAACACATAAAAGCCAATGTGAACAGACCACCGCTCTAACAAAACTGGAACAATATGATAAATATGGGTTTCAATAAGGATAATAATTGTGATGGATGAAGCTCATCATATGTGCTTAAGTCTATGAGTTCATAATGATACCACTAAAAAATAAAAAAATGATTTGGTCACGACCCTAAGATGACAAAGCATCAGTTCACTGTCTTCAAATTCTTTATCCTACATAAACAGGAAGATTCAAATCTCCTCCCTTATCCTGCCTTTACCATAGGAAATGCACCTCTGGATACCCAAATATTCGATTAAGGAAAAATCTCTCTTCCTAGAAACATTCCAACTACTAAATGAAATACAATGAAATGAGAATTCACCTCTCAACAAATCCACTTAATTAATGGATCTACCAAAACTACTGACATTCTCAAAGACACAACCAGATACTATGTGACTCCAGGTGAGAAAACACACACAACCCATTCTCCTGCCAAAGAGACTGAACATGACTGAACCTTTGCAATCAACAGGGCATTTGCAGAAAGCACAGGGCATGCAAGACCACAGTGAACACAGTCTAGACTGTGGGAGACTACACATGTCAAAATGCCTGGGTTCCTCTACTTAAATTGTAAATAAAAGGCATAGGGGATTAAGTTGTAGGTTAACACAACTTACACACCAATTCTTATAAACAGGCATGACTAAACTATAGTGTTAGATATCGAAATTTTGGTAATAAAACTCCAAAAAGAAACACAAGAAAGTGAGTACTATAAAAGTCAGGACAAGCCGGCGCCACGGCTCACTAGGCTAATCCTCCACCTTGCGGCGCCGGCACACTGGGTTCTAGTCCCGGTCGGGGAGCCGGATTCTGTCCCGGTTGCCCCTCTTCCAGGCCAGCTCTCTGCTATGGCCAGGGAGTGCAGTGGAGGATGGCCCAAGTGCTTGGGCCCTGCACCCCATGGGAGACCAGGAGAAGCACCTGGCTCCTGCCTTCGGATCAGCGCAGTGCGCTGCCCGCAGCGGCCACTGGGGGGTGAACCAACGGCAAAGGAAGACCTTTCTCTCTGTCTCTCTCTCTCTCACTGTCTGTAACTCTACCTGCCAAAAAAAAAAAAAAAGACTTTGAATTTAACAAGACTCTACTAGAGAGTAATAGAGTAATGTAGGAACTACATAATAGAGTTTACTATAGGATCAACTTTGATTGGGAATAAGGATAAAAGCTTTTGGTATACTGTCACATATTTAACTGATAATTTTTTGTTTACCTTAGTGAACAAAAAAGGAGTGCTTAAAATCTAAAGCCAGGGCTTAAAATCTAAAGCCAGGGACCGACGCTGTGGCACAGGTTAATCCTCTCCCTGCGGCGCCAGCATCCCATATGGGCGCCAGTTCTAGTCCCAGCTGCTCTTCTTCCAGTCCAGCTCTCTGCATGGGAGACCAGGAGGAAGCGTCTGGCTCCTGGCTTCAGATCAGCGCAGCTCTGGCCGTAGCGGCCATCTGGGGAGTGAACCAACAGAGGGAAGACGTTTCTGTCTCTACCTCTCACTGTCAGTAACTCTACCTCTCAAATAAATAAATAAAATCTTTAAAAAAAGAAAGTTGTCAAATAATTTTTAAAAAATAATAAAATAAAATCTAAAGCCAAATTTGAGTATTGCACCATAATGCTTTTGTGATACACACACAAAAAAATAAAAAACACACATTTTTACTCTAATGATAAATTCTGACCATGTTAGAAAAACTTAAAAAACAATTTCTGCATAACTCAAATATGTAATTCAGTATAAGATATTTTAATCCTCTGCCCTTAATAACGGGTTTCACCAAATTTTTAAAAACTTTTGAACCCACTTCTACTTTTGAGAATACAGTGAACCAAATAACCTGAGAAACTACTCTAAGCCCCTAGAAATGCCAGGTTAACTTAATCCAAAAACATATGCCTAAGTTAGAAGGAAAATAAAGGATTTCCCTAGAAGCCAAAAACAAGAGACAGAACAAAAAGCCAAGTAGGGGCTGGCGCTGTACGTTAATCCTGTCTGCAATGCCGGCATCCCACATGCGTGCTGGTTTGAGTCCCAGCTATTCCACTTCCAATCCAGCTCTCTGCTGTGGCCTGGGAAAGCAGTAGAAGATGGCCCAAGTGCTTTGGCCCCTGCACCCACATGGGAAACCCGGAAGAAGCTCCTGGCTCCTGGCTTCAGATCAGCTCAGCTCCTGCCATTGCGGCCAACAGGGGAGGGAACCAGTGGATGGAAGACCTCTCTCTCTCTGTCTCTCCCTCTCACTGTCTGTAGCTCTACCTCTCAAATTATTAAATAAAAATCTTAAAAAAAAAAAAAGTAAAGTAGTGGCTCTAAAAGTAGACATAGCAGCTATCCTTAGAGGACTGCCTATCTCAATACACTGGGGCTTGAGAATTAATATTCCTTCAACAACCTAACAGGAGGCCTCACACCTCTCCCTAGTCTCCTATATTACTGAGGGCTTCTCAAAGGGCTACAATCTCATGAAAAGTGGACTGAAACAATTCACCTATTGGAAAGGCGAGACACACACAAATTTACCTGAACAGGCTGAAACTCCGAGCAATCAAGAGAAAGAAGTCTTCAATTTACAACCACAGGCTTGTCTTTCACTGTATCTGGAATTTACACTTTCACTAAAGAGCAGTGCTGCTCTTCCTCAAAATGACCAACTATTTAACATAAAATGTGTTCTGATGTCTGTCATGGCTCTGGGTACCAACAAAGACAAGCAGCCTCTCAGAAGAGATGTGCTATAAAGAAAACTCAAAGTTATGTCATGATAGAAATTAAAAGAAAATTAAGAAAAGGAAGGAGGGTGGGAGTAAAGGAAGGGTGAAAGGGATTATATTCTTTTTTTTTTGACAGGCAGAGTTGGACAGTGAGGGAGAGAGACAGAGAGAAAGGTCTTCCTTCCGTTGGTTCACCCCCCAAATGGCTGCTGCAGCGGGTGCACTGCGCCAATCCAAAGGCAGGAGCCAGGTGCTTCTCCTGGTCTCCTATGCGGGTGCAGGGCCCAAGGACCTGGGCCATCCTCCACTGCCTTCCTGGGCCACAGCAGAGAGCTGGACTGGAAGAGGAACAACCGGGACAGAATCCGGTGCCCCGACCAGGACTAGAACCCGGGGTGCCAACGCCGCAGGCAGAGGATTAGCCAAGTGAGCCGCGGTGCTGGCCGGGTTATGTTCTTAAAACCATGTATATGAAATATATGAAGTTTTCCCCTTTTTAATAAATTTTAAAAATCAAATTAAAAAAGGGATGTAATTTCTATCTAGACAGAGCAGAACTCCCATAAAGCTTAAATAGACCTGAGTTTTTTAATCCAAAGTTACAAAACCCATAAGAAAACAAAGTATTCTAAGAGTCAGCAGAAACAGAGAATTATTACTCCAAAGACTTCAAATAGTAGCATAAACTAAAGGAAATACTGAACATTGTTTTTAACAGGTTTAAAAAATAAGACCACAACACTACTATAAAATACACAGGTTTGTAATAGATAAAACACATCTGAGAACAAGCAAACTGAAATACGGATCTGAGAAAATCATTCACAATAGAGCATAAAGAGACAGATGTGAAATATGGAAGGTTAAGAGACAAACAGGAAACAATGTCAAGTTCCAGCAAATCTCCAATAAGATTACGGCAAGGGAAAAGCAAGGATCACGCAGAGACAACATATGAAGAGATATTGGCCAAGATGTCTCCAGAACTGAGGTGAAATAGTAAACTATTTCTTAGTGAAAAAGTACACATTGAGACTCTACATTTCAGAAACTATTAAAATCTTACAAAGAACTCACATGATTAAATCTTCTTGTGAAAGCAACAGCATTTGGTGCAGAACTGTATTTTTCTTTTTTATTCCATCCACAACTTGAAAGCTCCTGGAAAATTAAAGTGAAAATTTAATACAAATTCAAGAAATAGCCCAGTCTCCCTGTCACAGTGTAGATTTCAGAACATTAAAGACATCCTGTGTCCTTTTCTAGAACCACTTATCTAATCTTATAACCATTCAGTTACATTATAAAAACTGATTAGAATATAAGAAAGCAAAATTACTTTTCTATGAGCATACATTTATACTCCATTGGTGGAATACTGGTGGATTGCTTTTTGAAGAGACCTGAATCCCCAGAGGAAAGACCCGCAGATAATAAACACAACACGCATTGAAGACTACCAGCTGTCATGCCCCTCCCCTCACTCATAGCTCCAAAACAGCTTTTCTGTATCTCACTCTTTCAGCTGACAGTCAATGAGCCTAGAGACTTGGCAAAACCTCTCTGGAGGAGTTCTTGATCCTGCAAAGTGTCTGTTAACAGAATTCAAAGAGCCCAAGAACTTGGATGTTTAAAAAAAAAAAAAAGAAAAAAAAATCAATTTTTATTTCATGCTAGCCTCTAATAGGCATAGGACATTTTTATTAATTATAAATGTAGGCTACCCACTAGTAGTAGCAATACATATGACTGTAACCAATAAAGTCATTGATATTTTCATATCACATTATAGTTGGTGTTAATTTATCAAAATTTCCTTTTACACTCATCACTACCACAACACTGTGGTAGCTATTATACCTATCTCTAGATATCAGTTACTATGTTAATAAAGAAGCACATATATTGCTACCTAAGAGCTTTTAAAAATGTTTTATTAGGTGTTATGTTAACAGAACTGATCTCCTTTGATTTTAATGAGTTTCAAATTCTACAAACTACAGACTGCCCAGGGGTCCCAAAGTCTAGAATAGTTTAGTGATCCTCTGTAATACAACAACCAGAGAGAAAGAATATGAATCCAAAAACAAAAACAAAAACCAAAAAGAAGGAAAAAAAGAACTCTCTTGAGTTAGGGGAGGGAACAGAACGAAGTTGAGGGGGCAAAACAGAAAACCCATTCAATTGTTACTGTCAGATGACAAAAGGTACTGTGCCACTAGGCAAAAACAAATTAGCATGTAAAAAAGAAGTTAAAGAACAAAACTGAGCTTTTAGAAATTAAAAAGAGAAACAAAATACTTACTAGAAGGACTGTGAGATAAATATGATCTTTTTAAACAAAAAAACTAAAAAGTGGACCAAAATATTTTTATGTTAATTATAACAGCCAACATTTGAGTAACACAAAGTTTAAGAGAAAATGGAGGAAAGTAGCCTATCAAAAATTTATTTCAAGAAAATATTCTAGACTCATTCCAAGGTATAGCATCAAAAAACAAAACAAAACAAAACAAAACTGCAAGGGGCTGGCACTGTGGTGCAGATTAAGCCACTACTTGTGACAGGTGCATCCCATTATCAGAGTACTGGTTTAAGTCTTAACTGCTTTGCTTCCAGTCAGCTTCCTGCTAATGTGAACCCTGGGCAGGCATCAGAGCATGGCTTAAGGGCTTGGGTCCCTGCCACTCAGATGGAGTTCTGGGCTCCAGGCTTCAAGCTGGCCCAGACCTGGCTGTTACAGCCATTTGAGAAGTGAACCAGCAGATGGTATCTTGGTATCTCCAGCCCCCCATCCTTCCCTCCTTTGTTCCTTCCTCCCTCGGTCAATCTGTACTTCAAAGAAAGAAATCTTTTCAAAAAAATTTCAGGGTAATGCAGCCAGATCATAAATCTATTGAATTCAAAACAAGAAAAATACAGATCACATATGAGTTACTGGGAACAACTGAAGGTACCCAACTGAACCAATCCCTTCAAAACAGCAAAGGGACTTGAAATGCCTACTACGCCAAAGGAAGCCTATGTAAACAAACATTCAACCTTCTTTATGCACAAATGTGGCCTGTTTGATACTTACTTGTGTAAGGTAGTGATCTTTTCCTGTGTGATTCACTCCACAGACTGTTTTAAAAAGACCTCTGCATTCTGAGAAGGGATGTCTTACACACCACCACCACCAGTGAGCACTAATACAGAGATTTCTAGGTGCCAGCATAAGTGCTTTAGACTTATCAACTCATCTGACTTGACAGTGAATTGTGTCTTCGCTTTTCACATAAAAATTTATGTTTGATACTTGAAATAAGAAACGCTAAGGTGTTCTAGAAAATCGATTCAATTCTTTGAACTTTTTAACACCATTCATTTAATGGAAAAATGCCTGGTCACTTTAAGAAAACTGCTAGGGATGCAGTGTTGTGGTGCAGTGGGTTAAGTCACAGCTTGAGACACCCACACCCCATATTGGAGTGCCTGGGATCAAGTCCCACCTCTGCTTACTTTCCAGCTTCCTGCTGATGTGCCAGGAAGGCAATGGCTCATGTTCTTGGGTGCCTGTCACCCACATGGGAGACCCAGATGAGTTCTGGGCTCCTGGCTTGGGCCTGCCCAGCCCTAGCTATTGTAGGCATTTGGGGAATGAGCAGGAAGAGTATCTCTCCACCTTTCAAATACATGAAAATAAACTTAAAAAAAAAAAAATTGGAAAGCTTCTGGAGGGAACGAGCATTTAGGCCTGCTGGACTAATGCTCACATCCCTACAGGAGTACCAAGGTTTGATGCTTGGCTTCAGTTCTGGACCAGGCCAGCCTCAGCCTTTGAGAAGTGATCCAGAAGACAGCAGCTCTGTATGCCTCCAGGAAGGAAGGAAGGAAAAGAGAGAGAGAGAGAGAGTGAGAGTGAGAGTGAGAGAGAGAGAGAGAGAGAAAGAAAACTGTTAGGAGTTGACAGGAAGAAAGGAAGTAGAGGGAGAGGTACAAATTATTTGTGAGTAAATGGTTAGAATTCCATTGGAGCCCTCTACTTCAAAAAAGCTTATAATTAGAAAAATGAAAAAAAAATCTCAATAGTTCCTGCTTCAGGAAAATTTCTGCCTTTGAAACAATGTTATATTACTAGACTACCTAACTGAACAAACTATAAAGATGGAAGAACAAATTAGTGGTTGCCAGGAGTTAAGGGTGGTGTGTGACTATGAAAGGGACCACAAGCAGAGATCTTTGTGATGGAAGAGATCTGTACCTTGTCTAAGCCGGAGGTAAGAAATCTACATATAGGATAAAATATCACAGAACTATATACAGAAAGGTCTCTTAAAAATGTTAATTTCCTAGGCCCGGCACTGTGGTATAGTGGGTAAAGCCACCACCTGTGCTGCCAGCATTCTATACAGGCACTGGTTCAAATCCCAGTTGCCCCACTTCCAATCCAGTTCCCTGCTAATGCACCTGGGAAAGCAGCACAAGACAGTCCAAGTCCATGGGCCCCTGTCACCCATGTGGGAGGCCTGGAAGAAGCTCCTGGCTTCTGGCTTTGGATCGGCCCAGCTCTAACCATTGGGGTCTTTTGGGGAGTAAACCAATGGATGGAAGATCTCTCTCTCTCTGCCTTTCAACTAAATAAGTAAATCTTAAAAAAAAAAAAAAAAGGTAACTTTTAAGAAAAAATTTCCTGGTTTTGACTTTGTACTACAGTATCTAAGATACAACTGAGATGTAACTGCTGAAGGCTGGGTGAAGAGTAATGGGACTTCTATACAATATGTCTGCCGCTTCCTATTAATTTCTCATTTATCGCTGCACAATTTTTTGCAACTTCCTATTATTCTGTAATTATCTCAAAGAAGTTTAAAAAAGGCAACAACAAACTCAATGGATTATGAAGCTGAAATTGTATTCTAGGAACTCACTGGCCACTTTCTTCTTAAACTTTGGCATATTTTCCTAGCTACCAGGCAAGGGATTTCTCCTTGTCCCATGTCTACTTCTCATCAGCTACTTGATGTCTCTGTTAAAAAAAAAATTCTTTTCTCTGTGTCTTGAGAGAATAGGCTACCCCAAACATCCTTCTGTGGCATATTTTCTGTTAGTTCAGAGAAAATCCAAGACCTCTAGAGTGAGAGGAATGGCTCTGAAAAACTGTCCTTTTATGGAAAGCAATTTCCACCTTCTGCATTAGTAGAGTAAATGGCAGACATAGGCAGAGGCTTTCTCTCTGGATCTCCTTATTTCCACAGATGTTTTTACAGGAAGAAGAGACTGGGGGATTCTTACAACAGCAGCCTCTAAGGACCACTCCCTGGTAAACCGCCTCTGTTTTGAGCACCATGTAGCTCTTCTCCTTGCTTGAGTCGCCACCCTAGCCCCAAGACACCCATACTCCTTGTGTAACACAAGATATGATATACATTTAACCACCCGCCCTTCTCTTGGGTCTTACACTTTGTGTTTCTTTCTCATGTCTATGCCGATAATGGTTTTCCTCCTGTCAATATGCCTATTGTTGATTTATTTCAGAAACTGAAATTAACAAACTGGGGCAGGCACTTGGCACAGCAGTTAAGAAGCCACTTGAGAAACCCACATGGGCCGGCGCTGTGGCGTAGCAGGTAAAGCCACCACCTGCAGTGCTGGCATCCCATGTGGGCGTCAGTTTGAGTCCTGGCTGCTCCACTTTCAATCCAGCTCTCTGCTATGGCCTGGGAAGCAGTGGAGGATGGCCCAAGTCCTTGGGCCCCTGCGCCCACGTGGGAGACCTGGAGGAAGCTTCTGGCTCCTGGCTTCTGATCATCTCAGCTCAGGCCATTGCAGCCAGTTGGGGACTGAACCAGTGGGTGGAAGACCTCTCTCAATCAATCTCTCTCTCTCCCTCCCTCTCTCTCATTCTCTCTCGTTTTCTTTCAAATAAATAAATAAATCTTAAAAAGAAAAAAGAAAAACCCCACATACCATATCAAAATGCTTGGTTTGTGTCCTGGCTCCTTGGCTTCAAAACTACTTCCTGCTAATGTGCACCCTGGGAAGCAGAAGATAATGGCTCAGGTAGTTGAGCTCCTGGCACCCATATGGGAGAATGGATTGAGTTCTGGGCTCCTGGCTTTGGTCTGGCCTAGCCTTGGCTATTATGGGTATTTGGGGAGTAAACCAGCAGATAGAAGATC